TTATAGGCATTAGATCGCACATAATTAAGGGTAAATGAACTATAGACGATAGATCCCACATAAGTTAAGGTAACATGAAGAACACAATCTATATCTAAGTTGAAATTCCACCCTAAGTTTCGTCTTTTAATTTCTGTGCTACAGAAAGTATTTGTTTTTCAATCAGTCTCATTCTTTCTGTTATGAAATTATAAAACTCGTAGTCTAACTCCATCCGTTCCCTCATAATGGCTTTAACTTTTTCCGATGGCTCCACTCTCGATTTTGACTTGAACTTTGTCAGTGCTTCTCTACGGACGATTTTTTGGTAGGCAACAGGCGCAGAGCGAAAAAATTGCGGTAATAGATACTGCCATATTTTCAATGATATTTCAAATTGTTCTAAAATTCCGACAAAAACAAAGTTCTCTACCACGTTTCTCTTCGCCGTTTCCAGTGCCCATTCGTGATCTTCATGACACGCGTCAACTTGGCCGCAAAAATACGGAATTATACCAATTTTTCCGGCTGCACATTCTGGATGATTGTCAAGAACGCATTCCTCGAATGTTAGATTGGCATTACGTTTGGTGTCTTCGCGTTCGTGTTTAACATCACCAAATCTAGTGTAGTAAAATGTAGATATTTTTCTGTCTACTGGGTCCCTAATTAGGTTAATGTACTTCGGTGATGATGAAATATCGATGCCATGACTGGAAAAATTAACATATCTCACGTGTCTATTGTAAATAAAAGGCGGATTTAGTGACATCACTTCTGAAATAAATTCCATTTCTTCCTGGTTTGTAAGTGTCATGCCATGATATTCTTGGCTTTTAACGTGCTTGAAATTGTTCCATTCTGCAGCTCTTTCCGTTACTGCCATAAGTGTTCTACTGCCACATTTGCCAACTCTATTATAAATCAGTCGAGATACGGTTCTCAGGGCTTTGAGGTCTAAAGGCATTCCAGTTGCAGGGGTTATTTTGTCATCCGCCGCGGCCCTCTGTCCTTCGTTCGGATGTATCATTTTAACATCCTCTATGGCCTTTTTTTTTTCTTTGGACGAAAACATTTCGCCATCTACAACGACCCTGAGTTCTTCCTTTGGGTTAATCCATTCGTTTTGTGAAAGATGTATCTGCCCCTGTGACGTTGCTGTTTCTGATACATCGCGATCAAATGGATGATTTGGTTGTTGTGAGATACGCATGAACGACGAATAAATACCAAATAAAGATATTATTAATGTGATAGATAGAAGTGATGTATAGAAGCTAGAAAACGTCCCTCGTGGTTTCCTTGGTGATAACGTCCGACTGTCTATGGTTTCCAATATTTCTAAATGAAATAGATATATGTCACATGTTAAGTTAATCCGCGGGTAAATAAGGAGTGTGTACCATATGGTGATTACGAATATACATTAATACATTTTAACAATAACAAAATATTTTTTTAAATTTTGCCACATATTTTTTAATAAATTTAATTTTTCTAGTAATTTTTTGGTGTATGGTCATTGGTTTTTAGGCCTAGTTATTACAAACTAACAGTTTTATTTAATAACCGACTAGGCATATATGGCATTCGAGTTTGACTCTCTCAATTAGCAGTGTTTATATTGTAATCACTACCGGGGTTCTGACAGAGTCATTAATTGCTACCGGGGAGTTGACAGTGCCATTACTGGCTACCGGAGTGTTGACAGTACCATTACTGGCTACCGGAGTGCTGGTAGTGCTATTAATGGCTCCCGGGGTGTTGACAGTGCCATTACTGGCTACCGAGATGCTGACAGTGCCATTACTGGCTACCGGGGTGTTGACAGTACCATTACTGGCTACCGGAGTGCTGGTAGTGCTATTAATGGCTCCCGGGGTGTTGACAGTGCCATTACTGGCTACCGAGATGCTGACAGTGCCATTACTGGCTACCGGGGTGTTGACAGTGCCATTACTGGCTACCGGAGTGCTGGTAGTGCCATTAATCGCTCCCGGGGTGTTGACAGTGCCATTACTGGCTACCGGTGTGCTTACAGTGCCGTGCATGACAGTTAATACAGCAAAATACTGGTTAATTGGACAAGTAATACTACAATCGCATAATCATTATTTGTACATAATTGTAAGTATCCAGTATCATTTTAGTCGTTATTTGAATAACTTTAACTACCGCACAGAGGCTGCTGATATCGTTAACACAACATAATACATGACCAAATACTCACCTCTGTGTGCATGTCCGACGTTCACACCACATGGTAGGGATAGTGAGGATGGCTTGATGTTTAGGGGCATTTTAACAGACTGAATGTCTCACAGTTGCATTGATAGTAACAGTGACAATAACCCGGATACATCACATTACTATTATGGTATTCATCAATATTACGCAGTGCATTGTACAGAAATATTGCATCAAGTGATTTTTTTAAAGCTGACACTCGGACGACAACCAATGAGGACAGCTGCATCTGTTGGATAATAAATGCAATGGTACAGCAAATCACATTGTTTAAAGATTAACCATGTTTCTATGAGAACAATAAATCTCTGTCGATGTTGCCGATACTGTGAACAACGGGAAGTAAATGCTATACGAATCACCAATTCACCTCAACCGAGTCGCATTTGAATATATTTAATTTGTTTTGATATTAGCTCATTACGCGCGACACACTAAACACCCACCCCCGCTCTTCAGTTCAACAAATTTCACAACAAATATTTTTTGACTCAGTATGCATATATGCTTTCCTTTCAGCCATTTGATGTTAAAACGCGGTGGTCGTCGCGCAGCGCGTGTTCTAATTCCATGTAAACAAACAATGTATTTTACACGCGTTGAATACGTCGCTATGAGTCCCATATCGAACAGGACGCGGCACGACGACTGCCGCCCTTTAATTTATACCAGTTACTTTAATTAGACATACCTAATGTATACATCTGAGATACATAATTGACAGAGCTGTACAGTAATTAGACATGAAAGGTTAACCCGCAAGAGGGAAATCAAGTCAGACTCTAGCTGTGATTTAAATGCATCTTGAATGCACTTGTGATAATCTTAGAGGGCATGGTGGCTGAAATAATCTAATATTTTATAAGATTATGAAAATTCGGTAAGGCAGTTTCTGGCAGAGAAAATTAAGCACTAAAAACGCTGATGACGACAATATAATTGGGATAGAGAGAGCACACCGTTTCCGTACAAACCACACATCGTTAGGTAGACCACGTAGAGTTATAAGAAAGTTCCCGCCATATAAAGTACGCAGCCGAATACTAACAGCACCAAGAACGATTTTCAAAGATTCAAACTTCGCCGTGAAGGAAGATTTTCCTCGCATGGTCCGTGATACCATTCATGATTGAAGCAAGGGAAGCTCGTGAGCGTGCATCCTTACGACACGATGTATTAGTTATTGATGAAAATCGGTACAAGTATGATGATGTCAAGCAAGATATTATTGTGAAATTGTAGGGAGGAGGCCAGGCCCCGAAAACTGGTCGGATAGAGTCTGTTCATGTGAACAAATCTTTTTTTTAGTACCGTCGGCCGTATTCCGAAACGGGAACTTATGTTTTGGGTTCCGTTCGTGCGTCCGTCCGTGCGTCTGTTCGTGCGTCCGTGCGCTCGTCGTCATTGCTCAGAGACCCATGGGCCGATTTTCTTCAAAGCTAGTACAAAGACAACTCATAATGGAAAATATGTGCACATCGATTTATTTTTTATTTGGTTGAGCTTTGATCGACTGGTGGCCATTTGTGTCTCAAAAAAAAAAACACACCAAAAATTAACATTGGACATGTCATCAACCGTTTCTCGGGTATGCTTTGACTTTTTCTGCTCATTTTACAGTAATGATTGTACAAATTTGGTTTAAATTTTGTATAAAGGCAAGATATAATGGGTTAAATCCTGTTTTCAGTTACTTTTTGCATTCATCAATATTTAGCTGAATAGCGGCCATTTTCGTCAAAAACGAATAAAATCACAAAATTCAAACATGTCATCTACCGTTTCTTGGACATGCCTTGACCGATTTGATTCAAACTTGGCATTGGCATCATTCATGGCGGGTTACTAATGCACGTCGTTTTTTTTCGTGTTTCGATTCAAAATGATGGACTGGTGGCCATTTTGTTCTGTCTATTTTACAGAGATGATTGTACAGATTTTGCTTTTATTTGGTATAAAGGCAAGATATCGCTTAGTTTTATTTTGTTGATCTTCAACTGACAGTCATTAATGTCCCAAAAATCAACATTTGGGCATGTTTCTAAGTCATGCCTTGACCAATTTCATTCAATCCTAGTCTTTATACCTGTTTCATGAGAATAGTTAATATGTTAAATATACTATCCCAATATTCAAACATAATCTGACCATGCTTTCCATTGTTTGACAAAGTCACTAAGACATGACGGGGACTATGACAATGACAATGACTTGTTTATATTTCTTGGAATATCAATGGTCTCAAAAAGTAGATAGTAGATATTCAAAATCGCAATTTGAATTTGTTATTAAATTATAACAACTGCTACAACTTGCACGGGTGAACGCGAAAATTTTCGGGTGATTTTATTTTAAATTTCCAAAGTAATAATGCTCAGATTTTGTGGAGAGAATTTGAAGTGATGTTATTTTATTTAAACATTAACGGGGAACTAAATATGTTTGACACTATTTTGTCTGCTGTGGCGCGTAACATGCAGTCTCATACAAAGAATAAAGACAATAGAGGGCGCAAGATAAACCCTAGGTGGGACTTAGAATGCGAGGAATTAAGAGAAAGACTCGACTCGACTCTTTACGCAGTTTTCGACGCTCAAATAGGGAGGAAAGATGAATATAACACTGCTATGAACACTTTTACACGTATATGTAAAACTTAGAGATTATCAAAAGATCATGAAAGATACGTCGGTGAATAGTCGGTATGAATCTATTAGATTTTAACAAACAATGAATAACTTATATTATATGTATTGTATTGTATTGTATTGTATTGTATATTTTATTTCACCATAAAGTAAATACAATTGGGTACTTGCTAAATACATAATGCTTTGTCATTATGGTGTGGAACAAGATAAATAGCTCACAAAAAGCTAATGAACATCATGTTCCTACCCTAATTATAAACTAGTCAAATTATCAGAAATATTCTTACAAATATTCAAAGGTAATGTATATAAGAATACTTAAAACTGATCAAAAATATGTCATAAAAGTCAAGAGAGTGACAATTGTTTGTCACCAGATGAAGGTGGATGTCTGTCACCAGATGAAGGTGGATGTCTGTCACCAGATGTAAGGGGTTGCTTATCAATAGAAGAGGATGCCCCTGTCACCAGATGATGATGAATGTGTGTCAACAAATTAAGGTGGATGTCTGTCACCAGATGAAGGTGGATGTTTGTCACCAGATGAAGGTGGATGTCTGTCACCAGATGAAGATGGATGTCTGTCACCAGATGTAGGGGGTTGCTTACCAATAGAAGCGGATGCCCCTATCTCCAGATGAAGGAGGATGTCTGTCA